TTAATCAGTGTAGATGAATAACAGGAGAGATGTTAAAGCGGGATTTTTAATCCTTGAGGTAATTGAGAAATGGATTGTGTATGTGTGCCATTCAGAGGGTGAATGGGCAAGACAAAAGATGTAAGTGCCTTTGAACAGGGTATGGTAGTAGGTGCCAGGCACACATGTTTGAGTGTGTCAGGAACTTTAATGCTGCTGGGTTTTTCATACTTAACAGTTTCCCGTGTGTATCAAGAATGGTCCACCAGCCAAAGGACATCCAGCCAATTGACATCTAGCCAACTGTGGGAAGCATTGGCGTTAACATGGGCCAGTAGAGTCTTGTAGAGTCCATGCCCCGACAACTTTAGGCTGTTCTGAGGGCAAAAGGGGGTGCAACTCAATATTAGGAAGGTGTTCCTAATGTTTTCTACACTCACTGTAAACAGTATATGGTATATACAGTACATGTATTTATTCTTTATATTTAGTGGGTAACACTTACTTGACACCCAGTGCCATAACACGTTATGACACGGTCATAACCATGTCATAATATGTCATAACAGCTGACATAACCTGTTATAATTTACACCTGTTGTGACATACTGTACATTGCGTTATTTTATGGCTGGTTATGACACCTACAGTGAGGGAAAAATGTATTTGATCCCCTGCTGATTTTGTACGTTTGCCCACTGATAAAAAAAATGATCAGTCTATAATTTTAATGGTAGGTTTATTTGAACAGTGAGAGACAGAATAACAACAAAAAAATCCAGAAAAACGCATGTCATAAATGTTATAAATTGATTTGCATTTTAATTAGGGAAATAAGTATTTGACCCCCTCTCAATCAGAAAGATTTCTGGCTCCCATGTGTCTTTTATACAGGTAACGAGCTGAGGTTAGGAGCACTCCTAATCTCAGCTTGTTACCTGTATAAAAGACACCTGTCCACAGAAGCAATCAATTAATCAGATTCCAAACTCTCCACCATGGCCAAGACCAAAGAGCTCTCCAAGGATGTCAGGGACAAGATTGTAGACCTACACAAGGCTGGAATGGGCTACAAGACCATCGCCAAGCAGCTTGGTGAGAAGGTGATTATTCGCAAACGGAAGAAAAACAAAAGAACTGTCAATCTCCCTCGGCCTGGGGCTCCATGCAAGATCTCAGCTCGTGGAGTTGCAATGATCATAAGAACGGTGAGGAATCAGCCCAGAACTACATGGGAGGATCTTGTCAATGATCTCAAGGCAGCTGGGACCATAGTCACCAAGAAAACAATTGGTAACACACTACGCCGTGAAGGACTGAAATCCTGAAGGTCCCCCTGCTCAAGAAAGCACATATACAGGCCCGTCTGAAGTTTGCCAATGAACATCTGAATGATTCAGAGGAGAACTGGGTGAAAGTGTTGTGGTCAGATTAGACCAAAATCGAGCTCTTTGGCATCAACTCAACTTGTCGTGTTTGGAGGAGGAGGAATGCTGCCTATGACCCCAAGAACACCATCCCCACCGTCAAACATGGAGGTGGAAACATTATGCTAAGGGGACAGGATAACTTCACCGCATCAAAGGGACGATGGACGGGGCGATGTACCGTCAAATCTTGGGTGAGAACCTCCTTTCCTCAGCCAGGGCATTGAAAATGGGTCGTGGATGGCTATCTCAGCATGACAATGACCCAAAACACACGGCCAAGGCAACAAAGGAGTGGCTCAAGAAGAAGCACATTAAGGTCCTGGAGTGGCCTAGCCAGTCTCCAGATCTTAATCCCATAGAAAATCTGTGGAGGGAGCTGAAGGTTCGAGTTGCCAAACGTCAGACTCGAAACCTTAATGACTTGGAGAAGATCTGCAAAGAGGAATGGGACAAAATCCCTCCTGAGATGTGTGCAAACCTGGTGGCCAACTACAAGAAACGTCTGACCTCTGTGATTGCCAACAAGGGTTTTGTAGAGGGGTCAAATACTTATTTCCCTCATTAAAATGCAAATCAATTTATAACATTTTTTACATGTGTTTTTCTGGATTTTTTTGTTGTCATTCTGTCTCTCACTGTTCAAATAAACCTACCATTAAAATTATAGACTGATCATGTCTTTGTCAGTGGGCAAACGTACAAAATCAGCAGGGGATCAAATACATTTTTCCCTCACTGTACATAAGAGTGTCAAAACCCACAAAACCTACCACACAAGGCAAAACATTCCATTACACCACAGCCTATGTATCAACAGTATGTTTTTGTTAGATATTTTTTTTTGAAATTGACCATATTAAATTATAATTGTAATTGCGCACACATGGATGTCAGACATGGACCTGAATGTAGGAGCAGATTTCAGGAGCAGGACAAGACACCCTCTTTTTGACTGATGACTGATATAGGACATGTATGTGATAGGCCTATCTGGATTATATGATTATGATGATCATAATGCTTCTTGACAGTGTCATAAAGTGTATTTTCTTAGTCCAAGTTAAGTGACACAGGATGGTCATAATGCTTCATGATAGTGCCATAAAGTGTATTTTCTACAAGCTTTTAAAATATGATGAAAAAACATGACTGTAAATAATTCATTACAACAACAACAAAGGATTTAAGAAACAAACTTAAAATGGAAGGAAACTTGGCAGGATTTAAATTCTTTGAATAAATGTGGGTTTTGACACTCTTATGTAGGTGTCATAACCAATCATAAAATAACACTATATATATCACAACAGGTGTAAATATATTAGTCATGACAGTGTTATGGCCATATTATGACAGGTTATGACAAGATATGTCAGCTGTTATGACATATTATGACATGGTTATGACCGTGTCATAATGTGTTATGACACTGTGTCAAGTAAAATGTTACCATTTAGTGAAAATTGCCTAAATCTATCAGTACCTAAAAAATGTCAACTTTGACTGCATTTACACCTGACCCCTTAGTTCCAATATCTCTGCCTCAGAAAGCCCAATCTTAACAAGGTAAAGTGCTTATTGTTCAGAGGTTTCTTTCTGAGTAGTTAGCGGGGATCTACACTGTCTGAGAAAAGTGTTTTTGTTTGCTAAAGCCCAAGGAAATTATGCTTTTCTTGTATGAATAGCTTAAAGCATAATAATTATGCCAAAAGTAACTATAAATATGTTTATTCCATAGTCTAGGTATGTATAAATGATTAAATAGTTAGTTTGTATTGATATTCTAAACTGTATGAAAAGTAACTATTAATGCATCCATTCCATAGTCAAATGTTTATGTTTGATAATCCACTCAGTTTTTGTTGAGAATTTCTGGATATTTGTGTCAATTTATGTCAATTTTCACCAGATTTTACCTTTGACCACAAGAAAATGGCCTTAAAAATCTAAATTTCACTTGACATCAAGCCTATCTTTGTGTATCACCCCATCATTGTTTGATCTAGCGTGGATGACAGCCTTTAACACACATTTTTTAAAGCACTTTTTCCAGGTTGGCTGGAAAGTCCTTTTCAGATAGAGTGGTTTAACTGGTAGTTATCCTTGTGTAATAGTGCCCCCTACAGGTTGAATACATAAATGCAGCAACCTGAGAGAAAGGTGTACAGTTCACACTATTCATCTCAAGAGGGCATCACAGGTCTTCACCTCAATAGTCCATAGGAATTTTAATCAATGGTCGCAGTGTGTAACCATTATCAGGTTGATGATCTCTCAATACAAGTGTTCATTGATTTTGTTTTCAGAAAAAGAGTAGGACAATAAACACGATTAATAGATTAGACCACAAAACTTGATGACAAGTCACTTGATGTAACCATGACTCGGAACTGTTGTCGGAACTGATTCTGTTTGAGTTTGATCACCTTCAAATGTGTGCTTTCCATAATATGCTTATCATGTCATTCACTCACTACTCATTAACTTCCATTTAGTTAAACATCCTTGAGGGAACAAGTTGTACTGTTCAGAGGCTTTAATATTCCATTAATTCAAAGATGCACAATAGTAATGACACCATTTTTCACACGAGATCACAATGAACTTTCCAATAGTTTTAAAACACATTTAAATAGGAAAGTTGATCATCACTCACAGTTATTAAGTTATCAAAAATATTCAACAGTACAAAACAAAGTTTGACATGTTGGTACATTCAGTTACTATTCCCTGCATGCAACACTGGTATGGCACAGAAAGAAGCAGCACTTCCAATTATTTAATTAACATTTCGATCAGACCGACAGTGTCATTGCATCAATGCTGCGTAATATATTCTGCAGTCAATCTTTTTCATTATGTGATCCAACATTTTTACTGGATATGTGTGCAAGAGAATTTCAACAATAACCTTTTGCTCCTATTTATGTCAAGTCTAAGCATACAATTAGATGCATCCAATGTATGCACCACACAGCACACAGAACACACTGCAACTGCCTCTGCAACCCAATGCTGCAAGGCAAATGCAGCGTTCCATTGGAAATGAACGTACTTCTGATGTCCCAAACTGCAATGACGCTGTCCGTGTGATCGAGGAGCTACTGTCTGCAGCATTGAGTTGTAACTTGTGAGCATCCTTTTACAGAAAAAATACATATTTGTATCACTCAAAGACTGACATCTGAATATATCAAGACGATCCTATAAAATGGGACCACTGTGTAAAAAGTATATTCTTAAATACATTGACTTCAAAAAGTATAAAGAGAATGCTGTTGTGAAGGCAAGTAGGTGCCTATTGTACCCATATGGCATGATAATAATATAATCACATTACACATTTTAAAAACTGTCTCTTAAAATGTCCAAATGGGTCCATTTGGTCAAATCTCCTGTGTGTGCAGTAGGCCAGTCTTTGTCACATGTAGGCTACATCAAGGTCCCTGCAAACAAAAATGAGTTGTTAGGACGTCCCTGGAACGGCAACAGGTTGTGTCTTGGTCCCCTGGACATCCGTCCCCTGTTTGCTGTTAAAGTCAATGTGAAAACATTCATGTTTTGTAGAGGATACCACAGTCCTACAGTTGCTCAGAGGCACTTCTCCGACTGACAGGAGCTAGGTGTGCTGAAGGTACAGGTGACTATGTCCACTTTACTGACATGGCTACGGACACCTGCTGGTGAGCACTTCGCCGGAAGCGCCTTACTGCCTCCGAGCAGTGACGCCATTATGGCCGGTTTGGACACCACAGCAAGTTCCGCCTGGAAGCTGAGCACGGCAGTTTGGTCGACACTAAACGGATGAAAGTTGTCCCGCGCCATGTCAAATTCCCAGGCTTGTCGCATGGTAAAGTCTGTAAACGATTTACTTTTGGTGGTAACCTGGTTCTCCAAGTCATTTCTGTAGTTGGTTGTGCGTAATGACACATCACTGGTCTCATTGCTGTATTCAAATGACGGGTGTGACTGTTGACTGCCAATGCCAACACAGCCTAAATGACGCCCGGGCTCCGCCTTGACTTTTCCAACTGTCTTCTTTATCCTCCCATAGCCCTTGACCAACAGGTTCTTCCGACAAAGGATGTAGACCCAGGGGTCCAGAATAGGGTTGAATGAGGCGAAGCGGATGGCCATCAGATCACTGTGGTAATCCGGTTTCACTCCAGCACAGATGTAGGCAGGCCCGTACAGCTGGTTTACAAAGATGCGCACCTGTCAGATTGAGAGAATATATAAAAGTAGTATATGTGGATAAAGCAAACAATTTTTCAGCAATATTTTATTCATTTAGGTCTGTGTTGCATAGCTTTGTCCATATTTGAAACTCATGCCCAAGACATAATGCATGCACAATAGCTTAAATGAAATTTCCATAGATGCCTTTTACTTACCACTAAAGGAATGGAGCACACCAGGAAAACGATGGTCATAAATATTAGCAGCCAGAACATTTGGATCTCAGCCGCGGACACGCTGGTGACGGAGGGCAGGAACCCGCGCCGTGAGCCACCTTGCGCGGACACCTTCACTCTCACTATCCGCGTCTTCTGGCTCATCCCCACAAGTGACAGACACACTGCGAAGTTGCACAGAACTGTCAACGCAATCAACAGCAACATGAACCCACCGTAAAGAAACGAGTACGAGGCGGCGAGGGGATCCGTCGCCCTCCAGTCCAAGAAACACCAAGTGCCCGGAAAGTGGCGCATGTGCTTCCCGAACCCAAAGCTGGGCATGATGCACAACACAATGTTGGCCAGGTAAATACCCATGAGCGCGAAACGCGCCATTGTCCGGTCAATGTATTGAGTGTAAAAGTATGCGTAGTTTATGGCCAGGTATCGTTCAACTGCCATTGCGCACAGGATGGACATTCCAGCCGAGCCGAAAAAGAGCATAGAGAAGGAGAATAAATCGCACAGTAGTTCTCCGCCGGGCCACCTCTGGGCTATGTAGGTGGCGATAACCACCGGGCTGGTGGAACAGGTCCCCAACAGGTCCGTGATAGCCATTCCAACAACCAGCGTATAGAAAGTGGTCTCCTTCTGCTCTTTCTTTGAAATGCACAACACAACAATGGCTATGAGGTTCCCCAGGACTCCAACGGCGAACATAGTGGCTGAAGTGACCAGGGATTTGGATTCCAGTCGCAGAGGTGGGAAAGTGGTGTGGTTGTAGGTGACACAGAGCGGTTGGAGTAGTTCTGAAATGTTCGAGCCGTTGTCATTGACGGAATTATGCATCATTCTTCAATTAAAACTGAAACAAAATAGCTTGATAGCTTCAACTTTTAAGAAACGTTCCCTTCCCACCATGCAGTGTCTCTTTACAAGAGAACACAACAAAAGCAATAGAAAATAAAAGAAAGCGTAGCCTACGATACCACAGAACACATGTTGTTGAGCTTTGTTTTGGTCCTACCTGCATGATCCAACAGTTCCCATAACAGTATGCTTTGGTTTGTGTTGTGTCTACAACCGCACCTGACGCTGCTGGTATTTAAGCTAGTGGCTGTTCGCTCGCGCACAGCCACTGTCACTGATGTCAATAATGTGACGGCAGGTGCCCGAGGCGTAGCCTACTACCATACATCTAGGTTCAATAATGGACCCTGCATGACTTCAACACAGCAAAAGGCTATTTGTGCCAAACGGCTATCCTAGGAAAGTAAGTATGTTACTATTTTTACAATGAATGTTCAACCGTTAGTTTTATACAGGTCTTTATTCAACAGTAGACATACTGTATAGTCTGTCTACTCAGTGTACATCCCAGCAACACAGCCCAGGTGATCTGAGCCACACCTATGATTTTATAGATCATACATTGGGGCAGGGGCGCAACTTTCACTGGGGACATGACCCCCCCCCCCCCCCCCCCCCCCCCCGGATGCCTCAGAGTGGTCAGGTAGGCTGTTTTCCAGTTTCAGCCAGCTGGATTTAGGACCACACGGACAACACAGGACAACACAGAGCATGTGGACAGGCTGTGTTAAGGCAAGGCTTCTGAAAGGCTGGCATAAAGGACCAGCACGAGAGAGATGAACAGAGGCAGCTGCTGTCTGTGTTGCACTTTTTCTCCAAGTTGTAAAAGCAAGCAGAGCAGAAACTGGCTACTCTTTAGTTGACTGATCTAGCTGGCAAGGTAACTGCTATTTGACAGGGAAAAAAAACTAGCCATCTCATTAACTTTAGGTATTAGTTTTGCCTCAAACACTAGACCTGAATCAAACGATGAAACCAGTGGCCAAATGATTGAAGACTGATATATTCTGACATTTCTTCAGCGTAATGTGAGTTTTTATTAGTCAGTATAGCAATGTAACGTTATTGATCTGTCAGTTTCCTTAGGTAATTCCCTACTGTTCACACTGACACGGTATTATCAGCTCTACAGGCTTCACTGTCATGGTGCACAATCAGTACACAACACTATGCTCATCATGTCTTAGCAGGATCAAATGGTGACAGGTGTACCTGAAATTTGTGGAGTGGTTGAAAAACAAGTTTTAATGACTCCAACCTAAGTTTATGTAAACTTCCGACTTCAACTGTATTTTAAGGCAGTCTGTCAAACCTCTAAAGTTGATTTCCGAAGTGTATCAAGGGTTGATAGTGGCTTTTCCCGATGACACAAAACATTTAAAACAAAAATATGAGGAAGACATGGGAGACACTATTGATGATGATGAATGGATACAGATATGTTAGAATTCCTAGTCATATTCGGCTCCGAGACAGGATTGTGTTGAGGCACAGATCTGGGGAAGGGTGCCAAAACATTTCTGCAGCATTGAAGGTCCCCAAGAACACAGTGGCCTCCATCATTCTTAAATGGAAGAAGTTAGGAAACACCCAGACTCTTTCTAGAGCTGGCCGCCTGGCCAAACTGAGCAATCGGGGGAGAAGGGCCTTGGTCAGGGAGGTGACCAAGAACCCAATGGCCACTCTGACAGAGCTGTATCTGATGCTGTCTGTCCAAAATGAGTATTACATACATGTCCTCTGCCTGGAAAACGACGGCAGTATTATCAGCAGCACCTGACTTTTTACTAAAGAAATGTATTGTGGGACCTCGAGCGGACCTCACAAGGCCCGTTGATGATGTGAGGCCTGAGGCAAATGACTCTTCTTCCTAATGCTAATTAGAACTATGCAGGGTTCTTCGGTTTGTCCCCATAGGGGAACCCTTTTTGGTGCTGGGTAGAACCCTTTGCAGAGGGTCCACCACATAAGTAGGTGTTCTAAAACTTTTGACCGGTAGTGTATATATATATATATATATATATATATATATATATATATATATATATATACACAGTGAGGGAAAAAAGTATTTGATCCCCTGCTGATTTTGTACGTTTGCCCACTGACAAAGACATGATCAGTCTATAATTTTAATGGTAGGTTTATTTGAACAGTGAGAGACAGAATAACAACAAAAAAATCCAGAAAAACGCATGTAAAAAATGTTATGAATTGATTTGCATTTTAATGAGGGAAATAAGTATTTGACCCCTCTGCAAAACATGACTTAGCACTTGGTGGCAAAACCCTTGTTGGCAATCACAGAGGTCAGACGTTTCTTGTAGTTTGCCACCAGGTTCCCACAGGGGGTATGAAAAAAATAATATAATGTATGCACTAACTGTAAGTCGCTCTGGATAAGAGCGTCTGCTAAATGACTAAAATGTAAATGTAAAATGTTTACACACATCTCAGGAGGGATTTTGTCCCACTCCTCTTTGCAGATCTTCTCCAAGTCATTAAGGTTTTGAGCCTGACGTTTGGCAACTCGAACCTTCAGGTCCCTCCACAGATTTTCTATGGGATTAAGGTCTGGAGACTGGCTAGGCCACTCCAGGACCTTAATGTGCTTCTTCTTGAGCCACTCCTTTGTTGCCTTGGCTGTGTGTTTTGGGTCATTGTCATGCTGGAATATCCATCCACGACCCATTTTCAATGCCCTGGCTGAGGGAAGGAGGTTCTCACCCAAGATTTGACGGTACATGGCCCCGTCCATCGTCCCTTTGATGGGGTGAAGTTGTCCTGTCCCCTTAGCAGAAAAACACCCCCAAAGCATAATGTTTCCACCTCCATGTTTGACGGTGGGGATGGTGTTCTTGGAGTCATAGGCAGCATTCCTCCTCCTCCAAACACGACGAGTTGAGTTGATGCCAAAGAGCTCGATTTTGGTCTCATCTGACCACAACACTTTCACCCAGTTCTCCTCTGAATCATTCAGATGTTCATTGGCAAACTTCAGACGGGCCTGTACAGTGGGGGAAAAAAGTATTTAGTCAGCCACCAATTGTGCAAGTTCTCCCACTTAAAAAGATGAGAGAGGCCTGTAATTTTCATCATAGGTACACGTCAACTATGACAGACAAAATGAGGAGTTTTTTTTCCAGGAAATCACATTGTAGGATTTTTTATGAATTTATTTGCAGATTATGGTGGAAAATAAGTATTTGGTCAATAACAAAAGTTTCTCAATACTTTGTTATATACCCTTTGTTGGCAATGACACAGGTCAAACGTTTTCTGTAAGTCTTCACAAGGTTTTCACACACTGTTGCTGGTATTTTGGCCCATTCCTCCATGCAGATCTCCTCTAGAGCAGTGATGTTTTGGGGCTGTCGCTGGGCAACACAGACTTTCAACTCCCTCCAAAGATTTTCTATGGGGTTGAGATCTGGAGACTGGCTAGGCCACTCCAGGACCTTGAAATGCTTCTTACGAAGCCACTCCTTCGTTGCCCGGGCGGAGTGTTTGGGATCATTGTCATGCTGAAAGACCCAGCCACATTTCATCTTCAATGCCCTTGCTGATGGAAGGAGGTTTTCACTCAAAATCTCACGATACATGGCCCCATTCATTCTTTCCTTTACACGGATCAGTCGTCCTGGTCCCTTTGCAGAAAAACAGCCCCAAAGCATGATGTTTCCACCCCTATGCTTCACAGTAGGTATGGTGTTCTTTGGATGCAACTCAGCATTCTTTGTCCTCCAAACACGACGAGTTGAGTTTTTACCAAAAAGTTATATTTTGGTTTCATCTGACCATATGACATTCTCCCAATCCTCTTCTGGATCATCCAAATGCACTCTAGCAAACTTCAGACGGGCCTGGACATGTACTGGCTTAAGCAGGGGGACACGTCTGGCACTGCAGGATTTGAGTCCCTGGCGGCGTAGTGTGTTACTGATGGTAGGCTTTGTTACTTTGGTCCCAGCTCTCTGCAGGTCATTCACTAGGTCCCCCCGTGTGGTTCTGGGATTTTTGCTCACCGTTCTTGTGATCATTTTGACCCCACGGGGTGGGATCTTGCGTGGAGCCCCATATCGAGGGAGATTATCAGTGGTCTTGTATGTCTTCCGTTTCCTAATAATTGCTCCCACAGTTGATTTCTTCAAACCAAGCTGCTTACCTATTGCAGATTCAGTCTTCCCAGCCTGGTGCAGGTCTACAATTTTGTTTCTGGTGTCCTTTGACAGCTCTTTGGTCTTGACCATAGTGGAGTTTGGAGTGTAACTGTTTGAGGTTGTGGACAGGTGTCTTTTATACTGATAACAAGTTCAAACAGGTGCCATTAATACAGGTAACGAGTGGAGGACAGAGGAGCCTCTTAAAGAAGAAGTTACAGGTCTGTGAGAGCCAGAAATCTTGCTTGTTTGTAGGTGACCAAATACTTATTTTCCACCATAATTTGCAAATAAATTCATAAAAAATCCTACAATGTGATTTTCAGGATTTTTTTCCTCTATTTGTCTGTCATAGTTGACGTGTACCTATGATGAAAATTACAGGCCTCTCTCATCTTTTTAAGTGGGAGAACTTGCACAATTGGTGGCTGACTAAATACTTTTTCCCCCCACTGTATATGTGCTTTCTTGAGCAGGGGAACCTTGCGGGCGCTGCAGGATTTCAGTCCTTCACGGCGTAGTGTGTTACCAATTGTTTTCTTGGTGACTATGGTCCCAGCTGCCTTGAGATCATTGACAAGATCCTCCCGTGTAGTTCTGGGCTGATTCCTCACCGTTCTCATGATCATTGCAACTCCACGAGGTGAGATCTTGCATGGAGCCCCAGGCCAAGGGAGATTGACAGTTATTTTGTTTTCGTTCCATTTGCGAATAATCGCACCAACTGTTGTCACCTTCTCACCAAGCTGCTTGGCGATGGTCTTGTAGCCCATTCCAGCCTTGTGTAGGTCTACAATCTTGTCCCTGACATCCTTGGAGAGC